TTGGTTTTGTTTTTTTGTTTGTTTGTTTTGGCCAGAAAAACTGGAAAAATTCCTTTAGAAACTAACCACGTTTTCCCCCTGGATGGATGGATCTTTCTTTTTTTCTTTCTTTCTTTCTTGTTGCTGATAGATACTTGGTAAGTTAAGATGCCAAGGAAGCAGAAGCCGTGAGCTACGGGTGGGTGTCCATCTGTCTGTCTGGGAGATTCGGCTACGCAGGCCCGCTGAACTGGTTAGGGGCAGCAGACACTGGGATGGGCGGGCCCATGGCTCGGACCGAAGGCAGGATACTGGGCCGATGGGCTCGTGGCTGAGATCTGGCAGGGTTAGGCTCACGGCTCTGCCCTGTCTCCCCCGTCGCAGGTGGTGAAGCTGAAGGCCGTGTTCCCCCACGGCGCAGGCTTCGTGCTGGTGTTCGAGTACATGCTGTCGGACCTGGCCGAGGTGATCCGCAACGCCCAGCAGCCCCTCACGCAGGCCCAGGCGAAAGGCTACATGCTCATGCTGCTGCAGGGGGTGGCCTTCTGCCACGCCAATAACATCATGCACCGGGTGAGTCCAGCCCCCCCTGCTCTAAGCACTAGGCCCCACTCCCCTCCCAGAGCTGGGGAGAGAACCCAGGCGTCCGGACTCCCAACCCCCCCCCCCATAACCCCCTAATTGTTCCCAGCAGGATCTGAAACCAGCCAATTTACTCATCAGCTCTACGGGGCAGCTGAAGATTGCGGATTTCGGCCTCGCCAGGGTGTTCACAAGTGACGCAGGCCGGCTCTACAGCCACCAGGTGGCCACCAGGTGAATGGGAGTGGCCGGGCTCTGGGCTGGAACCTTTGGCCACAGAACCGGGTCGGTCCACGGAGCCAGGGACCAGGAATTGGGCTCCTGGGTTCTCTCCCCGGCTCTGGGAGGGGCGTGGGGTCTAGTGGTTAGAGCAGGGGGGGCTGGGAGCCAGGACTCCTGGGTTCCATCTTCAGCTCTGGGAGGGGAGTGGGGTCTAGTGGTTAGAGCAGGGGGGCCTGGGAGCCAGGACTCCTGGGTTCTCTCCTCAGCTCTGGGAGGGGAGTGGGGTCTGGTGGTTAGAGCAGGGGGGGCTGGGAGCCAGGACTCCTGGGTTCTCTCCCCGGCTCTGGGAGGGGAGTGGGGTCTAGTGGTTAGAGCAGGGGGGGCTGGGAGCCAGGACTCCTGGGTTCTCTCCTCAGCTCTGGGAGGGGCGTGGGGTCTAGTGGTTAGAGCAGGGGGGGCGGGGTGCCCGGACTCCTGGGTTCTTTCCCTGCTCTGGGAGGGGAGTGGGGGCTGGTGGGATAGAGCAGGGAGATGCTAGTGGTGGGTATGGAGGTGCGTAACCGTCTCTCTGTCTCCCCATTAGGTGGTACCGTGCCCCGGAGCTCCTGTACGGCGCCCGGAAGTATGACGAAGGGGTGGATTTGTGGTGAGCTCCCCGGCCCCTCATCCCCCATCTCTAGTCTCCCCTCCATGCTCGAGCCCCGCTATGGCTGGACATCCGCTCGTTAGCGTGAATCCCTTCCCCCCGCTGATGTGGGGGTCCGGAACGCAGAGATCTCTGCTGGGGCCGGATTCAACTGCATACTTAATGAAGGGGTGTGGCCAAGGGGGCTTCCCTCCTTAATCCAGCCCTAGCCCTGCCCTTTTTGTCCTGCCCCATGGCCATGCTCCCCCCACATAATCATGCCGCCCAAGCCCCTTTACAGGGAGCCAGACCACAGAGCGGGGCCCTAGAGGGGGTCTCAGCCCCCACACAGCCCCTTCCCACGCCTCCCAGCGGAGACGTGATAGGGCAGTTCTCAGTTCTACAAGCAACCGGCTCAGGCTCTCTGCAGACTCAGGCAGCGCCCCTGTGTCCGTTACACTCAGGCAGTTCGCACTTCTGCGAGCCGTCGGCTCTTCGGGCAGGCGTCGCGCTTTGATGCTTCTCTCCCCAGGCGGGAGTCCTGGGAACTCCTGTTATTTTTTTATCCTGAAGGTCCAGCGTCTCTCGTGTGTGTGTGTGGGGGGGGGGGCACGACTGAGCCCTAAATGATCTCCCCCACCCCCCCTGGTGCCCGGAGGCACCTCAGGACAGTGAGGATGGCCCCACGGATCCCGGGGACACAGTGGGATAGGGGTCAGTCATGGACAGTTACCCCTGGGATTCCATAGACCCCCCCCCCGGCCTGCTCCCTCTTTTCTGCATCCACTCCAGGGCTGTGGGCTGCATTTTTGCTGAGCTGCTGAACAACTCGCCCCTCTTCCCCGGGGAGAACGACATCGAGCAGCTCTGCTGTGTACTCCGGGTGCTGGGGACTCCCAGCCCGCGCGTCTGGCCGGTGAGTGGGGGCGGGGTTCTCCTCCAGCTCTGGGGCTAGTGGGTAGAGCAGGGGGGCTGGGAGCCAGGACTCCTGGGTTCTCTCCCCGGCTCTGGGAGGGGAGGGGGGTCTGGTGGTTAGAGCAGGGTGGGGCTGAGACTCCAGGACTCCTGGGTTCTCTCCCGGCTCTGGGAGGGGAGTGGGGTCTGGGAGCCAGGACTCCTGGGTTCTCTCCCCGGCTCTGGGAGGGGAGTGGGGGCTGGTGGTTAGAGCAGCAGGCAGGGCTGAGACTCCAGGACTCCTGGGATTTCTAAGCACTCATCTCCCATGGCAGGAGATCACGGAGCTGCCTGACTACAACAAGATCTCGTTCAAAGACAACCCGCCCATCCCGCTGGAGGAGGTGCTGCCCGACGCCCCCCCACAGGCCCTGCAGCTGCTCAAGCGCTTCCTGGTCTACCCTTCCCGGGAGCGCGTGAGGGCAGCCCAGGTAAGGGAGCCCCACTGCTCTCCCAGTGCCCAGAGAGAACCCAGGAGTCCTGGCTCCCAGCCCCCCCTCCCTCCTTGCTCCAACCCACTGCACCCCACTTCCCTCCATCTCTAATCTCCCCTGGCAGTCGGGGCTGGGTGCTAGGGGCTGCCGTGGGGCGGGGAGTGCAATACCTCAAAATGCCACCAGAGGGCGCCCCAGGCTCTCCCATTGGTCAGCTGTGGTGCTGGGGCGGGGGTGTCACCAGGTTAACCCTTTCTTCCCCCCTCCCGCAGGCATTGCTGCATCCCTATTTCTTCACCCCCCCGCTGCCCGCCCACCACTCGGAGCTACCCATTCCCCAGCGGGGGGGCAGGACGGCCCGGCAGGGACCCCAGCACCAGCGCGACTTCCACGTCGAGCGGCCCGTGGAAGAGTCTGTGGTGGACCCCGAATGGGTGGCCCCTTATGTGGTGTGAGGGTGAAGATGGGACACGGGGCCTGTCCCCTCTGGGGGGCGCCGGCTCCCACCCGGCCCCAGGGAGGGGACTGGCTGGCTCAGGGGGGCTGGGAATGGGGCTGGGGCCTGTCCTCTCTAGGGGGCGCCGGCTCCCACCCGGCCCCAGGGCAGGGACTGGCTGGCTCAGGGGGGCTGGGAACGGGGCAGGGGCCTGTCCCCTCTGGGGGGCGCTGGCTCTGATCCAGCCCTGTGGAGGGTGAAGATTGGCCCCAGTCCCCTATATAGTCCCTGGAATAGGGACCCCCAGTCTGTCCGTCCCCCTCTGGACTCTGGTGTCACTGAGTTTTGTAATTAAACGGCTTTCGTTTACTGTGAACTGACTCCCGGCCCCTTTCCTGGAATTGCCCCACCCCTGGTCTGGTTCTGTATGTGGGAGCCAGGACTCCTGGGTTCTCACCCACCGCTGTGAGGGGAGTGGGGGCCGGTGGGTTAGAGCAGGGGGGCCTGGGAGCCCGGACTCCTGGTTTCTATACCCGGCTCTGGCAGAGGACTGGGGCCCGGTGGGTTAGAGTGGGGGGGCTGGGAGCCAGGACTCCTGGGTTCTCTCCCCAGCTCTGGGAGGGGAGTGGGGGCCGGTGGGTTAGAGCAGGGGGGGGCTGGGAGCCAGGACTCCTGGGTTCTCTCCCGGCTCTGGGAGGGGAGTGGGGTCTGGTGGTTAGAGCAGGGGGGCTGGGAGCCAGGACTCCTGGGTCCAGTCTTTGGCTCTGCCTCACTTCCCCGTTCTCCCGGCAGTGACAGGCGGGTGACAGCCGCCCAGCCTGAGCCGGGAGATAGCGCTATCTCTGTCGCCATGTGCCCGCCTCTGGGCTGTGCTGGCGTTGCTGGGGGGTGGGGGGCACAGGGTTGGTTGGCCATGGAGCCCTCACTTTCCTGCCCTGCTCTGGCCTCATCTCCCTCCGTTCCTGCTCCTCGGCCTGTCCTGCTCTCGCGCGCTTTCATTCTTCACGTCTCTTTCACGTCTTCCTTCCTCTCGCACGTGTCTCGCTCTTGGGCCTCCCTTCCTTCAGTCACTGTCAGGCCCTGTCTTTCGCTGTCCCGCTCTCCTCCTGTCACCCTCGTTCTGTCTTTCATTAGCACCTTCTCCCGCCCGTCTGCAGCGTGATCTCCCTCCATCGTTGGTTAGCACCCTCTGGGTGACGGCCCATTGCGCCAGGCGCTGTACAGTGTCTATTAGGTGTATTACGGTACCTCCTAGGC